TACGAAGCCCTTGCATGCGTGTTTGTCCTGTTGAACTCAATGATGGAGTTAGCATTGAAGCATGTGAAACTGTTTGGGGTTGGAAATCCTGCATGCGCGAATTTATTGATAAGTTCATTGTTTTGGAACTTGAAGGCTGTAAATTAATTTGTGTACGAGGCTCTTGTTTCCGCGAATGCGAAATTGAGCTCGTTAAAGTTGATTTAAAAACCTGCGAATTGTTTCGTGGACGAGACTCTTGCTTCTGTAAATGTAAAGTTGAGCTCGTTAAGAATTCTTGTGAATTTAAGTTCACTTGTGCAATAATAGTCTTCCGTGACTGTATGTTCACTTTTTGTATTCTTGGTGAAGATAAATTAATATTTTTGTTCAATGGTTGTGGTTTACTACCCGCTCTTGTTTTAACCATTTTGAATGAATGTTAATACGGCTTTAATGTTAAGGAATAACGATAATTTTGGTTTAAAAACGAGGTTTAGGGTAGAAAAATGAGGAAAAATGTTTTGCGAGAAAAAAAAAAAAGGTTGAATTGAGACCTTATTTTAACTTCGGAAGATGTAATAATGTGTCCAACCAACTCAGTTGAAATTCCATCAACTCGAAAAATCACAGGCCAAGCCACAATCATCCGATCGTATAACTTCCAACTTTGTAGAGTTCTAGTTTCTTCAAATTTCAGGGGGTAACTTTATTTTTTCCAAAAAGCGATACACAATTCTAAGCAAAGAAAAAAAAAGAATTTTTTAATTTTTTTTTTGATATTCGCGAATATTCCTTTCGATTTTACCGCAGTAAAATGTATTTACGTCATAATAATTTATCAATAAATTTTTTTTCTCTATCGTTATTATGTTATTAATATCTTAAAGAAAATAAGTATAGTAAACTCTATTTAAAGATTATTTTATTTTAGAATAAATAAAATAATTTAGTATATGTGAAAAAAAGAATTAAAAATTATATTTATGTTACTTTAAAGCATTTTTATAAAAAAAAAAAAATAATAAAAATAATTTCATTTTAGTAATATATAAAAGAATTACAAAAATATTATTTATAAGTAAAGATATTAAGCAATTTTAAGTAATTCTAAATTTCCAATAAATTTGCTAATTCTAAAAAAATTTTTATTTTACTAAAATTATAGTTTACTTTTAATGATAATAATTACTAAAAATATTTATTAAAAATATATCATAACTTATTTAAAAATTTTAGAATCTTTATTTTTAAAATTTAAGACTAAATTTTAAATACTAAATTCTAAATACTAATCTCAAATTATTAATTTTATAAAATTATTAATCTCAAAATTTATTTTCTTTTATTAAATTTATTATAACAATTTTTAATAAAATATAAACAATTAAATTTCTTATTATTAGAAATTTTTAAATTTTTTAAAATTATTATATAAAATAATATTTTTATAAAAAAAATTTTATTTTAAAATTAATTAAAAATAAATTTCTTTGTTTTTCTATTATAATCTTATATAATATATTAAATAAATTGTATTTAAGTTTATTATTAACATATATTTTTTGATTTTTTAATTAAAAATTAAAAATATTACTTTAAAATAAAAAATAATTTCTAAGATTATAAATTTTTTTAAAAAAATCTATTATAGTAAAATAATATATAAAAATTTAATATAAAAATAAAATATCTTAAAATTAATATATTGTATTATTGATATATATATAGAATATATAGATTAATTGCTAAGAAAATAAATTCTAAAATTTTTTTATAAAATTAAAATTTTATTATATTTTAGTTTTAATTAAACTCTTAATTTTAATCAAAAATTTAATTTTCTATAAATTATTTTATATATATTTTTTATAATATTTTTTTAAATTTTAAAAGTTATATATAATTTTAGTAATATTATAAATAAAAATTTTTATTAATTTAATAAATTAAATAATCTTTTGTATATTATTTAATATTTTATATATATTATATTCTTTTAAAAATAAGTATCACATGATTTTAAAGTAATTTTTTTTTACTTAAGTTTTAGTGATTGATCGCCTGAGTTAGCTATTATATATTCACATATTTCTTTTTTTATATTTATACTAATAGTAGTATGTTTTCTTTTTTGCAAGTT